ACAACATTTCCACAGGGATCTTGTACCTCAGTATCTGTGCTTCCCAGCACTGGCCATGCTAATGAAAGCTTACTTCCCATCCTGTACCAGGACTCATCTTGATTAGAATTTTGAGGCTGGTGGCCAGCTTGTTCTGTTAGGGCCCTGGAGCTGGGACACTGGCCCTAAGATTTTGGTCATAGCTGAAACCTGGGCTTTGGCACTTGCTGGGGGTAGAATCAAACCAAAACACCAACACTTTTCCCTTGAAACCACACGCAACTCCTGTCTTCTGCCATCACTTCCCGCATTCATCTGTCGAAACCCAAAACTTGGGTCTGCTGCCACGTGATTGAAAGTGGTGAGCTTTGCCCTCAAGTGCACCCTTAACACAGCCTGGCAGGCTCCCTGCAGCTCTGAGAAAGACACACCCTGCTCCTGGTGCCCTGAAGAGTACTTTAAGCCAACCTGCCCTGTGCAGGTTCCAGGGAGCCGTGATCATGAAGGATCATGGATTTGAGGCTGTGGAAGGAAGGAGGTGCAGGAAGAGTCAGGGTGTGTGGCAAAGGGAGGCAAAAAGCAGCAGAAGAGCTGTAGTATGGGGTGTCCTTACCAGGCGGGCAAGAGCATGGCTGGCCAGCAGGGCGAGGAGCTGGATCATCTCCAGGGGTGGCATCACCAAGAATGCGCACAGCTGCCCGACTGACTCCTCTACCTGACGTGACCTGACCTGACCTGACTGTTCCTGGAGAAATCAGAGCTTGCCTAGATCCAACCCTTGCCTCCCCCTGGTGCCTGCGTCTGTGACCCCCCGGACCCCAACCCTCCCCACTTCAGACGCCTTAGCGTCCTGACACGTTACCACGCTGTCCTCTTGCTCCTGGGTTTTATTTGTAATTCTTTCCCACCGCCGCTTCTGTTTTCCCTGAAAGAGTTGCCTGTCCGTCCGTACTCACCAGTTCCACACTACACTCCCATTTCCTCACTCTTGCTGCCTTCGTCCCCTCCGTGTCCCCTGGGAGACAGCACTCGACCTCAGTCATGACCTCCACGATGACCACTGTGATGGTGAGCTCCATCTGAGCGGAAGTAAATGGCTGCTCACTGCACCTCCCGCCTCCCACCTATAGCCCCATGTCCTGGGACCCCTCCTGTCCCCTGACTGCCGGGGCTTGCTGTTGTGACTGCTCATCTTTTGTGCACCCAGTGTCTTATGGATACCCAGTCTCATGACTCTCAGTGCTGACAGGATGGTGCTTCTTCTCCAGTGGCACCTCCTGCTTTGACTGTGCCTCTGACGCCAGATTCCTGTCTCTGTCACCTGTTTCACTGCCATCTTCCTCATCCCCGCCCTGCCTGCTTCTGAGTAAAGGCCAGAGAACCACCCGCGACTTGGACCTTTCTGTCCTTGTCCAATGCCAAACCGTCACAGACTCTAACGAATCTGCCATTAAATCCACCTGGATTCTCCCTGCGGCTCACTGCCTGCCGTAAGCCGCTGGCATCTCTCACCTGCGCGACTTCGACGGTGCCCTGAACAGTCTTCGCCCAGCTCCCTACCTTGATATCGAGCTTCAGAAAGCACCTGGATTGATGATTCGTATGAACCCCGGATAACATCACAGGGCTCCTGGCCCTGAAGCCCGTGTGTCTCCACGACATTTGACCTGACAGCACAAGTGCACCCGATGGCTTCACCTCTCACCTGTTTCTCTTCCTGGCTCGCCATGCCCCAGGCTCAGCCTTGGGGCCCTGCCCACCCAGACACCTCTGCACCCGAATCCTGAGGCCTCTCCCTTCCTTCCGGCCCCAGCACCCATGCTCTGCCCTGGCGGGCCCTTTCCACCCCACTCTGACTCTGCCTCCTATGTCTCCTCCGCCCAGGTCTGTCCTCAGCGGCTGTGCTGGATCTTTGACTGCTTGGCTTCTTGCCTAGTATTTGCAAGGGCAGGTGTTTGCACTTGGTTTATTGGTCTCCGTAATCCTGGGTCCTCGAAGAGTACTTGGCACATAATATCACTGAGTAAATACTTCATGTATTAGTTTGCTTGGGCTGCCACAGCAAAGCCCCACGGACTGCGTGGCCGAAAGAAGAGAAACATGCCGTCTCCTGGTTTCGGAGGCTGGAGCCTGACATGCAGGAGTCAGCGGGGTCAGTCCCTTTCAGGGCCTCGCTGTTGGATTGCACACTGCTGTCGAGCTGTATCCTCCTAGGGAGTCTCTGCGTGCAGGTCCGTACCCTAACCTCCTTTTCCTATAAGGACCCAGATAAGTCTCACCAGATGAGGATTCTGCCAAGCACTTCAGTCTACTTTAGCTACTTCTTCTTCAAAGACATGGTCTCTGGACAGAGTGACGTTCTAAGGTACTGGGGGCAGGATTTCAACACATGGACTTGGGAAGGGGTCACAGTGCAGCTTATAGCCTGATTAATGGGCTAATCACATACAGAGATGGAGTAAGGATCCATCCCTGTATTTGGGTTCAAAGCTCTTGGTGAGGCTGGTAAAGACACAGGGGCCACGGGCAGCTGGACTCAGAGAAGGGCACAGGTCCCGGATGGATGAGTGTCAGAGAACCATGTATGCATTAGGCAGAAAGCGCTCATCTCAGCCAAGCTCGAAATACACCAGGCTTGCAACAGCAGGAAGCAGGGGCCGGAGCTGCTCTTGGTGTTGGGGATACCACCGTAGACAGCCTGGTCTGGAGAAAGCTCTGCGTGGGGTTCGAGGGACAGAGGAGGGTGCCAGGTCTCTGGCCCCAAGGGTGAACAGCACAGCTGGATGCCGGCCAAAGCTGGTGGGGATTAAACTCTCAGGGAAGCACTATTAGCATCATTCCTTTGGGCAGATAAGGAAACTGAGGCATGGACAGGCAAAGTTCCCTGCTGAATATCACAAAGCTGAGGGGCGCGGCAGGCAGCGCAAGCCCAAGGAGCTGCGTTCAGCCCTCCTCCTCGCTTGCCACGGCAGACTCCAGTTTGTGCTTTCCTGCAGATGGCTTCAGAAATGGAATGGTCCACTTGGGTGGGGGCAGAGGCCCTTGCCTGACCTCATCTGCACTGCGTGGGAAGTATGAATACAAGGGGCCCAGGCTCGGGTGGGAGGAAAGGCATTCGGGACAGAGAGGGAGCTAAGAGTAGGCCCCTGTCCTGCAGCCAGAAGGTTGGGTGCGGACCCAGAGAGGACAGCAAGAGCCATTTGCCCTGCGCACACAAGGGAAGTGGTCCCTTCGGTTCGCAAGTTGTGTACATGGGCTGCATGATCCTTGAGAGCACGCAGCTGGCCTAGGAGGCTCAGGTCAGTGAATCAGTGAACCGAGAGCACAGTCTATTTCTGTGCCAACCAGGCTTTCCGTGTGCGGCCTCCGGCCCATCATCATCCCCAAGTGATTCCATTCTCTGTGGAACCTGTGGGAGCCAAGGACCTCGGGCCTTCAGTGGCAATGGCGGGAGGGCTGCCGAGTCCTCAGGCAGGCAGCAGGCCACCAAAGCACTCTGAGGAGCAGGGGAGTGAAGGGAGAGTGCCCGGGGGAGGAGGTGCTCCAGCAAACTGCCGCACTGGAGGCCCGGGTGAGTGAGGCTTCTCTGCCTGAGATGGGGCAGGGGCTAGCTCCAGGACTTCCTCAAGGTCGGTCCTATTAAATGCACCACAGTGTAGCTGGCTGCGGCCAGGCTAGAAGCCCATTTGTTAGCAGGGAGCATCGGCCTCTCTTCAGGAGTTTGACTGGAATCAGAACCTGAGCTCCCTCGGAAGCTGTTTGCCTGGTTCCTAGTTGCTTTTGTTGGCTTCCATGCTCTCTGGGGTGTCATCTCTGCCCCACCTCTGCCCCAGGCAGCGGGTTGTCCCCCAGGCAGTCCAGGGGAGGAGGGCCCCCATCTCTAACGCTTGCAGCCCCAGTAGAGCCCTTCCGCTCCCCTACTGCGCCCCAGGCTTTCCCAAGACCGTTTCCTCCTCCGTGTCGCCACAGCCTCACCGGGACCCAGGCTTCTCCCCATTTCTCAGATTGCACTGGGGAGAAGCTGAGGTCCCTGGCCTGGCGCAGGGAGGTACGTGAGATAGCCAAGGTCACTCAGTCATTGGCAGGACGTGGCCTCGGCTCGGCCCTTCTCCGGCGGGCCTGGGGGAGCCCCGGCCAGGCCCAGCGGCCCGGTTGCCCACAGGAGCCCCTCTCCCGGAGGCGGCACCGGGGACCGGGCGGCGGGTACCGCAGGTGAGGCTGCTGGGGACGGGGCGGGGGTTGGGCTGCGCCGGGCCGCCTGGCGCTCGGGCCTCGGGCGCGGCCGCCCAAACTCGCCGCTGCGCCGGGTCCTGCGAGGACCGGCGCCTGGCGTCCCGGCCGGCCAGGCGGGGTGGCCGAGGGTCCCCGGAGCGCCCCGGGCCCGCCGGCCAGGCCCCGCCCCCCAGCGCCACGGGCGGGGGCGGGGGCGGCGCCGGCGGAGTGGGGCGCGGGCGCGCGGTGCTGGGTGCGCGCCGCCGCCCCTCCGGCCCAGCCTGCCGGCCCTCCCTCCCCAACCCTGGGCCAGCTCGTCGCCCCCACCCCACCTTCCTGCCCTGGCCCGGCGGCCTGGTGCGCGGTGCAGCGCGACCATCGCGGCCTGGCGAGAGGGACACTGTGGTCGTGGCGCTCGAGGGTGGCGCTCGAGGCGCGGGGCGCGAGGCCAGACCTGGCGCGGCGGGGCGTGGGGGGCGGGCATCGGCGGAGCCCCCAGAGGAGAGCGGGGACGGGCAGGGGGGCGCCGAGGTAATGGGCAAGGCCTGGGCGCCCGGCTGTGAGGGGCGGGGGTGCCCGGCGCACTTTGGCCCTGGCGGGGAGAGCGACCCGCGCCTGGGGCAGCGGGAGGGCAGCTCGGCGGGGAGGGCCGGATGGAGGGAGGCTGGGCCGGGCCGGGGGCTTGGCAGACGGGGAGCAGGTGGGCGGGGACAGGGGCCCTGCTGCTGGAGGCGCAGCAGCGAGGTGGCGGGCTGCGTGCGCAAACAGGGCGGCCGCCTCCTGGGCCCGGAGAACGGTGAGGCCGTGTGGGTTGGGCGGCCCGGCCCCGAGGGCACGCTTTGGTGTCCAAGGCCACTGACCTGGGTGTGGGGCACTGCTGGGGAGGGGGAACCTGGAGGCCCTGCCGGCCAAGGCGATAGGGTCCCTAGCAGACCCGGGAGAAGACGTGGCTGGGCCAGGAGCAGGAGTTCCTGGCCAGAGCGCTGGTGTTGGGCGAAGGACAGGCACTCTCAGGGTTCGCGTGAATGGAAGGGGACAGGGGGCCCCAGAGTTTGAGTTTGAGCATAATTTGGGACTTGCCGTGGCACTGGGTGGGTTGATGAGTCATGATATTTGGAGATCACAAACCCTTTTCCTGGTGATCAGTGATGGAAGTGAAAAAGGCTGGGATTTGGAGAAGTGGCTCGGAGGCCATGTCTTAGGACACCAAGTGCTCTGGTGGCCGCCAGGCCCTGTGTGAGGGACTTCGGGAGCTCGGTCCCATGGCGATGTGATTCAGAGGCTTCTGCCCTGGGTGGGGATGAGAGGCCTCTGTGGTGGTCTGTTCCCAGCCCTCCTCCCTCTCCAGGCTGTGGGGATCCAGCTGTGTTCCTGTGGGGAGGGGGGCAAAATTCCTCCAGCCTCCAGCCGGCTTTCCAGCACCCACCAGGGGCAGGAGGGACATGTACATGCGTGACTGCAGCAGCATTCGCTGTCGTGGAGCCCTCGCTTCCTCACTGTTGCCATAGTAACTGCCTATTGATGGAGTATTTATAGGGGAAAGAAACAGGCTAAATTTGGGGAGGGGGAAGAGGCCTCCTGGCAGACTGTGGCAGCAGGGATGGTGGCTACAGAATCACTAATGGGGTGGGTGATGCCATGCGAGCTGCTTTGGGGCGATCTTGGCTTCTTTGGAGCTGAAGAACGAATTACCGACTTTTGAAGGTGCCAGCATCATACCCATTTGGGGCTATGCGAAACATGGGCGTGTGAGACCCCAAGTCCGCGTGTTCGGGACAAAAGATGGCTCTGTGGAAGCTGTTATGTAATTTTTTTTCCATGTAAAAAAATTAAAATCCTGCAAGTTCTCTTTTGGTAGGCAATCAGACAGTTTTCCTTATTAGTAAATCCTTCACTCACTCTTTTCCAACCGAGACACAAACTCCATTTGCTTTCAGCCCAGGCTCCTTGCTGCTGGGCCCTCCACCTCCATCCCCTTGGCACCCACCCCTTCTGAGACCCACAAAGGAAGGAGACTTGCAATAATGTCTGGCCTTTGCCCTGGGAGCATCAAGGGACATTTCTCTCCCAGTGGAACCCCCATCTTTGGCAGTGTCACAGTCCCACGTTGAGAGCTTTTGATAGGGTCGTTGTAGCCTTCAAAAAAGGGAGCCCCCATGACACAGGAGCCCAGATGGTGACATGGGATACCAGATGGATGGGGCGTTCACTGTTTACCCTTAGTTGTCAGTGATCTGTTGTATCCTACCTGTTTGCCAAAAGGATTAGAGGCTATGTTACAAACGTACAGCGAAGCTCTGAAAACATGAATAGAAAACTGTGTACCTAGTCCTAGGAGAAAAGCATCTATAGCTAACAACTGGGCTTGCGGGGCGCTTGTGCTTGAAGGTTCATGTTAACAATGAATTCCCTGGCAGCCTGAGCAAAAAGGGCAGCATACTGAGTTACATGGCTCACGTGTCTTGCATCCCTTTAGTCATAAAATTCGAGCTTCTGCCTGGGAGGGGAACAGCAGTGATTGCTCCCAGATGTGGATGGCTTTGCCAGCTCTCCAGAATATGTGTGTGCGGCAAGGAAGGGCAGAAGGAGTGATATGCTGTGCCTGCGGCTCGAATCCTGACCATAGAGGGTTTTAGCGGGAGAAAGGCTTTAGGATAGCAGCTTACATGACAGGCAACATTTCTAGTTAGCATCTAAGGCTGTGTGTGTGTGTGTGTGTGTGTGTGTGTGTGTGTGTGTGACTGGAGATCTAACCCAGGGCCTAACACATACTAGACAAGAGTTCTAGATCTAACCCAGATCTAACACATACTAGACAAGAGTTCTAGCGTGAGCTGCATCACCAGCCCTGATCCTTTCAATCCCCATCTTGGCACTCTGCTACGCTGGTCTGTATTGCAAAAAGAGGGGAGTCTGGGAGTCTCACCTCCCTGTCTTGTGAAGACTAACGTAGAGAATTTGTCATGTGGATTTGTTTGTGCTAATGGGTCCGGTTGTTGTCAGGCGTAGAGGCTCTGACCCTGAAGAACAGGTGTTCACTGAAGGCCATTGTTGGCCAGTTCCAGATGGGCCTGGACATTTGAGATGTCTGTTGCTGCTGCAAGACATTTGGTTTTCCGGGATGGAGCTTGCCATTGGAGGGTCTGGAGTGGCCATTGTGATCAGCTCAGGTCCTACCTCTGTCACAGCTCAGCTGCTTGACGTCGCCTCCACCTGTCTGGCCTTCGATTTCTCTTCTGTCTCAGGTCTTTTCTGACTCAAAGGCGCGGCACTCTCTGGAGGTTAGTGAACAGGGAACCCCACCCTCGGGTTTTCTGGACTCTCTGTGTGCTCTTGGGAGAAATAGCAGAAGATTTGCCTGCCTGCCGGGGGTCTTCTGGGCCTTGGGAAGCTCTGCCGCGTGTTGCAGGAGAGTGAGAAGCATTCAGAGCTGTGAACCCTAACCCTCCAGAGCTACACAGAAGTGCTTCATCTGAGGTGGTGGATGCTGCGTGGATCTTTTGGCCAGGCTGGGGGGTCACAGTGCAGGGTGAATGTGGTGTGGTGCCGACTTCTGATTGTGAGTTTACCACAGCTCTGCTTTTCTCCCTGTCCAGGAACTGAGACTCTGGAGCTGAGGGAGCGCCATGGCAGGTGAGTCTTTCCAGCAGGATCCACTCACCCTTAGGCACCCACTGGAGCAGGCTGCTGCTTGGAGATGTGCACCTACCAGGCAGACCACAGGGCTTGGGTAGGGAATGGCTGGCACTAGCCTGGGTGTCCAGGGGCAGCCTATATGTGAATACCTGGAGCAAAGTCACCCCTTCCTCCACCCTCCAAAGCCTTGGCTCCATCCCTGCCTTGCCGTCAGTCCACTGGAGCTGAGTTGGTCCCTTTAAATGGAGCATGAGGGGCCACTCTATGAGAGCTTTGCAGGGGACTCTGGCCAACCTTCAGTGCTTAGACTGTCATGCAGACACTACCGCCTCCATTCCATGAGCACGCTCAGCTGTGTGCCGCCAGTCTCTGGAACCATCTCAGCCGGGCTTTGTCCCGGACTGTCCCAAGTGAGAGTGATGCCAGCTGGCATGAGAGCACAGGGGGCCAGTTCAGGTGCTAGTATCTGGTGTTAGTCACAGCATTGGCCTCCAAGAGGGATCAGTTCTCACAACAAGGGCTCCCATTGCCCCTTTCGAGATAGATGCAGAAGAACCTGGGTATTTACCCACTGACAACTATGGCCCTCAAAATTCTGGCTCTTGTTCCTGTGCAGTGTGGTCTCTCTTAGCTGGTCCCCATTTTCCCTGTATCAGTGAGGGCCTGGACCCTGCAGGCTCCCCGCTGTTCTAGGTAGGAGTCGCCTGGTGTTACGCCAAGTCAGCCCTCTGTCCCTTTTCCACTGCGGTCGGTCCCTTGGGTTGAAGCCTGGTGTTAGACCTACTGGTTCTGCCTGGTTCCCCTCTGCGCTTATGCCTCAGTCTCCGACTCAGCCTGGGCTTCAGGAGGCTCTGGGCACCTCCACATGCTGGGCCTTCCTGGGCTTCTCTCCTCAGTGTTTCTGGAAGCCAGGAATGCACATTCTGTTCTGAAACGCTTCCCGAGGGCCAATGAGTTCCTGGAGGAGCTGCGCCAGGGCACCATCGAGCGCGAGTGCATGGAGGAGATCTGCAGCTATGAGGAGGTCAAGGAGGTGTTTGAGAACAAGGAGAAAACGGCACGTGGCGCCCTGTTCCCGGGTCTGGGAGGAGAGGTCACATCAGGCTTGTCAGCAGCAGGCCGGGTACCTCAAACTTGATGGAAACAAGGAAATAAAGCCATTTAGCCCAACACCCTCCCTCTGGGGCAGAGTGGGACAGGGTTGTGGGGTCATTGTCCTTTGTCCTTGGTGCTTATGGAAGCCTCTCTGTGAGCTCTGTGGGGATGAGAGGGCGGCAGGGCAGGGTGGGATGCCAAATGCTCCTGGGCCCCTCGGGAGCAGGAAGGAGTGTCGGCTGGCAGCTGCCTGTGCACTCCTCCTCTTCTGAAGGTGTGAGCCACCCTTCCTCTTTTGCAGATGGAGTTCTGGAAGGGGTACCCAAATGCAGTCTACTCGGTCCGAGACCCTTCGCAGAGCTCTGACGCCATGTATGTGGTCGTGCCCCTTCTTGGGGTAGCGCTGCTGATTGTCATCGCCTTGTTCATCATCTGGAGGTGCCAGCTGCAGAAAGCCACCCGTCACCACCCCTCCTATGCTCAGAACCGGTACCTAGCTAGTCGCGCCGGGCACAGCCTGCCCCGGGTCATGGTGTACCGGGGTACTATGCACAGCCAGGGAGAGTCCTCGGGGCACCGGGAGGCGGGGAGCACCCCGCAAGTGATGCTGGGGCCCAGCCGGGGGAGCAGAGCCACGATCCGGCTGGAGAGCACCCTCTACCTCCCGGAGCTCTCTCTCACCAGACTGTCTAGTGCCACCCCTCCGCCCTCCTATGAGGAGGTGACTGCACCCCAGGAAGGTAGCAGTGAGGAGGCCAGTGTCTCATACAGCGACCCGCCCCCGAAGTATGAGGAGATAGTGGCCGCCAGCCCAGGTGCAGACAAGTAATGAGGCCTGTGGCCTGGCCTGCCGGAAGCCTCTTTCAGAGGTTTCCTGTTTTCTTTGGAACTTTGGAAAGACTTTGTTCGCCACCACAAAACAGCCTTAGCCTCCTTGTTGCCAAATAATTCCCAAACCGTGGATTTTTAGGAAGCCAGTCATCAGAGACAGGGTGGGTGGGGGTACGGAACGTGCATGACTCAAGCCCCCAAGAAGAGCTACCAACTCCAGGTCCCGGCTCTTCTAGAAGTCCCCCCTCCCATCCTGTCCTCCCATCCGAGACTAGCTTCTCTTATGCCAAAGGAATCATCCTGTTGTGTTGATTGTGGCTGGAATGTCCCCAGGTTCAGCCGCCTGGGCCTTGGGGTGGTAGCCTGTCTATGCCTGGGGTGCTAGGCGACAGAGGAGAGGGAGAGAAGCCAGCTCTGCCACACTCCTTCTCCTCCACGGTTCCATGCCCTCTGTCCTCCTGGTGCGAGGACAGGGACGAGGATCGTGTGAGGGACAAACCAAGTAATAACAAAGAACCAATAGTGGACACCATAGAACCAAACGGTAGCCACTGGGCCATGCGTGTGTCGGAAACTGAGGGAAATCAGTTGCACAGATCTGTGATGGGCCCCTCCCCCGACACCCACCCCTCACTCCTGACCAAGCCTGCGACAACCTGGTGAGAACACGGTGCGTGAAGGGCACGGGGCAGGGGGCTGGGTGGCAGGGTTCCTTCCTTCATAGTCACCAAGGGGCCCGCGTGAACTCTGCCATCCTGTGTTTGGTGTGCTTGGCCCCCCCAGATCTGTGCACCTGCCTTGCATGAGTCCATCACAGCCCTAGAGTGCTTTGTTCCTGGGGAAAGCCGAAGCGCCTGACACTGCCCACAGCCTGAGGCGCCTGAGCAGTCAGGACACAGGCAGGACAGAGTGAAACTTCCCTCCGTGTGATTGCTCCAACCAGAGGCCGGTTACCCCTGAGTTTGGCCACCTCAGTCCCTGAGCTCCTAGCTTTGAACTTTTAGGATACTTCCCTTTTTGTGCATGGGGGCGAGGAACTTGAGCTTCAGATGGGTGATTTCTCCCTAACCATGGTGCCCATGTCAGAGAGAAGAGCCTCAAGTGTCTCCCTAAAAATCTCTTTTCGGGCACCGTGACCTGGGGTTGAAGGCCTATTGAGGCTTTGGTCTGCCATGGCCAGGTGCTGGTCTGTTTCAGTGAGGCTTGGGATGGCAGTTGGGCAGAGGTGACCTGCCCTGTAACTGACCACATCAAAGACATTGTTGATGCCATCTCTTCCCTCTCCTATTTCTGTCCTCTTGGCCTGGCCTCGGTGCCAAATCATTTTTCATCTGTGGTGCTTTAAAAAATGTAGCAACCTTTTGTGGGGCCCAAAAGAGTGCAAGGCGGGGTCAGTTGACAGTCACAGTGGTTTCAAACTCACTGAGTGGACCAGCTTCCTGTCTGAATGGCTCTCCAAGGTCACTAGGCTCATTTCTTGAATGCAGCTCTGCCTGAGGCTGTGGATAACTTCTGGAGGCCTCTGGGACCCGGGGACTGTCCCCAGGCTGTATGTCCAGTCCAAGGGTTGTGTCCTATCCCACTCAGATAACTGGACCAGGTCTTGACGGTTTTGTCCTTCCCCCTACCTCACAGGTCCACTGGAGGCTGACTGGGCTCTTATTTGTGAAGTGCTTGGAGCCCTGTGGAGCAGAGGGCTTTGCCCTTGGAAAGATGCTTCTAGAAATGTACAGGTTCCATTTTGACTGGGGGCCTCGTCTGCCTCTGATACAGTCTCCACCTGAGAGGAGGCAGTCTCCTGCCTGACCCTTTCTGTGCCCTCCAGCTCTTGGCGAGTTCTGTGATGCCAGAGATGCCAACCATGCGGCGTTCCACCTTTCCTCCCTTCCTTCCCCCTCCCCCGGGCCTCCAGCACTATCCTCCTGGCCTTCCTCCTGAAGGGAGTTTTGGCCTAGAAAGCCTCTGCTTTTTCCATGACGGGGCCCGGGCCCATGGTGGCCATGTTGGAGGGCCTTGGGGAGCCAGAAGCTTGGGACTCGAGCCCTCCCAGAGTTTTCTCAAGTGGGTGCCTAAGTGTGGCGTGCAGCATCTGAGGAAAGGTTTGTCCTCCTTCCCCGGACCAGAGCCAGAGGGAATGTGTGCCCAGGAAGGCCAGTGCCATACGCATCTGCCGAGTAGCCCGAGGCTGGGTGGCCTGGGATGAAGAGAAGCCTGGGGCGTGGCTGTAGGGAGAGCCTGAGGCTGCTTGCTCCTGAAGGCCTGCGGCCTAGACTGCCCTTCTTGGAGCTCTTCCTGGCCAGGCTGTGCCCAGGGCCCCCGTGGCATTTGCAGTTTGTTGGGGGAAAGGGACCACAGCGCACACAACAGGCAGAACTCCTCGAGGGGCACACATGGCTTTTCCGAATGCCCTGTATATAGCTTTTCAAACTGTCTTTGAATGAGCATTGGTTTTGTATGTTAACACTGCAGTGGCCACATTTTTGTTGTTTTGGGACTCGTGCACACGCGTGGGTGCGTGTATGTGTACACATGTGTGCACATCACCTTTTTCTCACTGCTTACCTGAAACGATAGCCGGTGTGCGGCTGTATTTCTAACAGGAGGCATCTGTCAGAAGGGAGGAAAGTCCCCTCGCCACTGGGGATGGACAGCTTCATGCCAGAGCCCTGAGTGAGGAAACCGAGGTTAGCCATTGGAAGCCCCCAAAGTCACCGCCTTCTGTCCCCCCTCAAAGGCTCTGGAAGAAGATGGAGCAGAGCCAGCCCTGGGGGGTCTCTCACGGCCGTGTGCCACAGTGCCCCCTCCTCCTCACTGCTGTTCTGTTGGCCTAGGAGCTGAGGGAGCTCTGAGCACTCCTGCGCCCCTCTCTTTTTCTCTCTCTTCCTTCTCCCTCCGTCCCTCCCTCCATTTCTTTTCTTTACTTTTCTTTCACAGAAAAATGAGTGACTATTGACTTTGGAAATGCTGGGCTAGTTATTAAGATATTTTTTCATTCAAGAAGAAAAGGCTTGAAAAATTCATCAAAATAGAACTGTCATTTGTTTGCAACCAAAAACTTTTAAACTTTTGTAAAACACCAATCACAGTCCCGCCCCTGCCACGGCCCATGCGTTTTCCAAATGAAAGCACAAGAGGAAGAGCGGGGTGCCAGGTGCCTGGCATGCACACCCCGGCACAGCTGCCTCGCGTCCTGGCTAAGGCTGAGGAGTCACACCCAGGAGGCTGAGGCCCACTTCTACTTGCCAATCCACTGCCATTAGTGTGAATTCCTTAGGGTGCTTAGAAAACGGGACTCTGCCTGATGTGCTGGATAGTGTCTTTTTATACCCAAATATGAGGAATTTAGGACAGGAAAGTGTCTATTTTTGTTAAGTAGTGGGAGCCAGATGTTTCCCTGCTTCCAGTGGGTGGAGACTCCCAGTCCCCAGGCAGAGTTGGTCTTTTGTCACCCAGCTGGCATATCCCAAGGAAAGAAAATACCACCACTGCCTCTAGCTTGCTTTGTCGAGTGAGAGCGAGATGGAAGAGAAAGGATGCAGGATCTGTCTTCCTGGGCCGGGCTGAGCCGCCCGGCTGGGTGCACCCAGCTGGGGTGGAGGACTCCGTTTCCGGACTTTGCCAACTCAGAAACAAGCACATCTTCCCCTCCGGCGTCCTCCGCTAATCCTTATCGGCATAATTAGCTAATTAAAAACTGCTGTAATCAGGCTGCTTGGAATGACAGTAAAAGCCCATTAATCCGAAACCCGCTAATTTAAAACTTAAGAGAGAAAAAAATCATAATTTCAAATACTCTGCAATAGCTGTGATCCTTCCAACATCCATAAAAGTGACTGAGGTCAAGGGACCCCAATCCAGTGTGGCTGGTGTCCTTATCAAAACAAGAGATCGGGACACAGATAGGCACAGGGGGAAGACTGTGTGAAGACAGGGCAAAGATACCTACCTGCACCCAGGGAGAGGGGCCTTAGAAGGAACCAGCCCTCCAGACGCCATGCATCCATTTTCAGGGTCCTCTGTCAGAGGAATCCAATTTAAAACAAGTACCATTTTCAATGGAAAGGCTCAAGCTATTAAGGAGTCCTTCGCCATGCCTTCTGCTTTGGGGTTCAGCGGTTTACATCTGTAAGGCCCCTGGGCAGGGTGATCTCTTGTCCTCCCTCCGTCATGGGGACTTGGGATGGCGCAGCCTTTTCTTCCACTCCTGTATTTATCCTGCGAATATTTCATTTGTGAACTTGAGTGCAATCTAAACCCAAGCGTGCGTCTTTCCACGTATTCTATAATGTAAACGTTGCACTAGCAGACTGGCTGCGCTCCTCATTCGCTCTGGACTATTCACACTGCAGGAGTTTCTCCTCTCACGGCTTCGGGAGTGAGTCTCTCTCACAAGTCTCTGGCGAGAATTTCTCTGACAAAAATATCGGAACACCACACCCCCTCCAGCTCAAGGCTGCAACAGTTGTTCCCCGGTACTGGTGTCCAAGCGAGCGGGCTAAACATTCACACAGATCCGCGGGCACACCCACCCCAGCCGCGCTTCTGCTGCCGGTCACCCCCTCTCACAGATGCCACTTTCCCAGGCCTGCACACACCTGCTAGCTCGCTCTGCGATTGTGCATTTGTGACAGTGGAAACCCTGATACGCGCAGCCGAGCTTACGGAAATAATTACCGTGAAATGAATTCACTGTGGTACCACCTTCAACTGTGCTCGTGTCTTTATGTGTTGACCCACGTCAGCTGGAAAATCTGTCCCTTTAGTAATCTGTCAGGATTTCCCCGGAGCCTGGGGCCCGCCAGCGAACCTGCTTCTGATCTCTGCTCTCTGCTCTGTTTACAGTTGTTGAGTTTAGCTGTTAACTTTTGTCTCTTTCTGTACCAGAAGATAACATATAATAATAAAGAGCAAATGGCATCCATTCACATGCATTCTGTCCTGATCGTCTGGCATCCCTGGATGTGTGAATGGCTGTGAATTGAATCTGGTTTTCTGAAAGTCACACTATAGGTAAGAAGAGCCCGAGCCAGTTTAGGAACAGGAAGCAGAGGTGTCCTGGGCACTGAAGTTGTCCCATGGACTGTAAGATCTCCTGACCCATCTCCCTGAGCTGAGGTGAGGCAGATCTGTCACAGATCCGAACTAGCAACTTCCTTGTCATCTGATCCCTAGGTACTATTGCAGGTGTCCCTTGCCCTAAGGATGCCCTCCCTGCTCGACTTCAGAGCTGGGTGGTGAGTAGAAGGGAGGGGTCTGCGCGTGTCTGTGTGGATGGGACATTCCTCAGGCTTCCTTCTGCCTGGGCTCCCTAAGTTCTGCACATGGCAAGACTATTCAGAAGGCAGTGATGGCTCTGCCTCTGTGTGGAAGAAACGTGAGCTTGGCCCAAAGACTGCCAGCTTGTCGTGTGCAGTGAGATGCAGCTATGTTGAATCTCTGGTCCAAGTTGTGCCAACCCTCAGTAATGGAAGCAACAAGAGGTTCTTCCTCCTCCACCTCTTCTTCCTCTTGTTTCTCTTCTTCTCCCTCCTTTCCCTCTTCCCTACTTTCTCTCTCTTCCTCCTCTTCCTTGCAGTTCTGGGGATTGAGGCCAGAGATTCACACGTGCTGAGAAACACTGTACTGCTGAGCCAGTAATGAAAGCAAGCCACCCTCTACTAGGGAAAGCCCGGGAGGTGACAGGAGAATGTTGAGTGTGAGATATCCTAGAGAATTAAATGTGGAGAGCAGGTGCCAGGAGTGGGAGCCAGAGATCTAGCGAGGCTGGTTGGAGTGATGCCCACCCTCTGGGGATGCTATGAAGATCCAGCGTACAGAGTACAGACTGGGTCACATTCCGAACTTGAATTTTGACCTTTTGACTTATCTGATGTACGGTGACTTAGGGTCCTAGGCTGGCCTGTGCAATGAAGTTAATATAGGATGAGGCCTCTGGCTTCCGAGTCTCCCTGGGGACACCATGCAGGAACTGAGCTTCCCTTTCTTGTCAGGCCAAGGCACTTGAATCGCTTGTAGAAGGTGACAAGTCGGGGCGGGGGGGCGGGGGAGAAACTTCAGGAAATAATGGTGAGGGAGACAATCAGGCTCTTTGCAGTCCCTGCTGAAGCAGAGACAGAGAATTGGGAGAGAAGCACAGACTGTGCTTCAGGGCTGTACCTTGGGAAAGAGGGACCCCTTTTCCCTTTCCCTGCCCCCTCACCCTGAAGCCTGGGCAGTGCAAGGGTAAGATCCATGAGTTGTACTTGCTGAGGTTCAGTGCGTGCCAGGCTCTGTGTGCATCAACTGATGCTCTCCCAAGGTTCCTGTGGTGCACGCTTTGGAGCCCAAGGAAGCCAGCTAAAGAGAACTTGTCACTGGGCCAAGGACTCACAGGAAGTGCGTGCTGGTGCCGTCTCATGATTTCAGGTCTGTACTGATTGTCCCAGAACTGTGAAGAAGCAAGCTCCAGTTTAAGACACCAGACTATGTCTGACTTCTCTCATTGCTGGGAGCCCGAGGTCATGGTGTCTGCAGGGCTGGTTCCTTCTAAGGCCCCTCTCCCTGGGTGCAGGTAGGTATCTTTGCCCTGTCTTCACACAGTCTTCCCCTGTGCCTATCTGTGTCCCGATCTCTTCTTTTGATAAGGACACCAGCCACACTGGATTGGGGTCCCTTGACCTCAGTCACTTTTAAGATTTTATCTCCGAGTATGGGTATGCAGTGGGGCACTTCGTTTCAACATATGAATTGGGGCAGAGTGCGCAAATCAGCGGGGCTCCTTGTTGCTCCTTCCCCTGACCTGAGCACGTCATGTCATTCACAATGGGGACATCACGCTCCTCTGAGGCTCAGGCAAAGGCAGGAGCACCTTGCCAGTCTCAAACCAGGCTTGGGATCAGCATGTCCTTTGCTGCCCCTGGAAGGATGTAGGATTACTACCAGTGGTCCCCACAGGACCGGGAGGGGAGGGAGTGGAAAAGTGAGCTTCGGGATGGTTTCCTCATGACTGCTTTGTGGAAATCGATGTGAGAACCCAACATCTGAAGGATGCACAGAGAGCTTGTACCCCTCGGGTTGTTTTTATGGATAAAACATACTGTTTCCAGGAATTGTAAGACTGACAGCTCCCGTCACAAAGACTTTCAACAATTTCTCCGAGGAGCTCAAACTATGTGATTGATTCAATTTCACCAGGATTCGTGCATGAGCTGCAAAAATAGTCTGAGTAACATTTTCATGTCAGGCAGGCTGCGCTGAATCACAGGAGCCCAGCGGGTGGGCCACCATACTGCTTTCCCAGGGTTCTGCAGCTGACAGGGCACATGACAGCCGGCAAGGGGAGAGCATGGTACTCCAGAAGCCAGGGTGCCTCTACCTGGAGCCTAGGGCATGCATCCAGCTGCGTCTGGAAGGGCATGAAGCAAGCTGCAGCAGTGGTATGCAATGAAGTCCATGTTAGGGGAAGACCAGAGAGCTGACGCCGGAGGCTGGTGGACAGTGAGTCTAGAGAGGGGCCACAGAGGCATGGAGAGGCCAAGTGAATTGCCTAAAAAATGGGGATCTGTGAATCAAAGCCAATAGCTGGGGATGGTGGACATCAGGGCTGGGGTTGCAATACACCCCAGATTTCCTGGTACTTGGTTTGTTGGCAGAGTGTCGATGAGGTCTCTGTCTCCCGAGAGCGAAGGGCAGGCCACACTAGAACAGGGCTCGAAGCATGTTTCCTTAAACCCCATGGAGCTAGCTCCTCCCTGGGACCTTCCATTGGCCTGGCCGGAGTCCTGGAGAGTTAACTGGATGATGTCCATTTGCCACTGGATTGGTAACCTGAGTCACACCCAGCCCTCCCTGCCCTTTTCTCATCCTTACCAACTGTGAGATGGAGAGTATCCACTTCAAAGATGAGAGCACTGGCCATGAGGTCATCCAGAAAAAGCACACAACCGCTCGGGCCTTTCCCCCTGCTCTCCGGCAGCATCCTTCTGCAGCCTGGAGGCAGCGGCTGCTCCTGCCTTAAAGCTGGTCAGCGTCTGACACTTGGTGCCGACTTACCGCATCTGCATCCCTGCTGCCCATTGTCCTTTGGCCTCCGCTTCTCCTGGTTCTTGAACACATATCCACTTTCATTCACTGGACATGGAGACGGTGCTTTCCACCTGCAGAGCCGCCTGGTGGCTGAGGCCAAGGGTTCCACAGGAGATAGGACAGAGGCTCCGAGGCGGTACACTGTCCTGGCCTCTTTGAGGGACACTGGATGCTGGGCCACCGTGTGACCAGCAGACAGGGAGTGAACACTGGACAGCAGAAAAGGAAGTGGGAGTGGGAAGTGACAGCTCCCTTTTCCTGGCTTCATACTTGCCTAAAGGCTCTTTATTTGTTTTAACATTATTAGTGTATGCTTGTGATACATAATAACCATTTGTTTTGGGGGGCTGGTGCACATACATGTCACAGCCTGATCATTTTTACTTACGCGCCTCCCCCTCCCTCTTTAACCCTTCATTGGATCCCCTTCAGGTCTTCACAGCCTTCATCTCCCTTTTCCTATTATCTCTCTATTTTGCTCTTTAGTTATATTTTGTCATATAAGAGAAACCATGCAGAATTTAACTGTGTGTGTCTGATTTACTTCACTGAACGTTATGATCTCAAAGTGCATCCAATTTCCTACAAATGACTCAAGCTTCTCCTTCCAGATGGCAGAGGAGTGCGCCACGGTGTCTAAATCCCACTCATCTGTTGATGGGCACATAGGCGGCTTCCAGCGTTTGGCTTTGACCTTTGAGGCGCTGCTCTCTGCCTGCAGGCAGGGCAGTCTTGAGGGAAGATTGCCCTTTTCCTGGCAGGTTTCCCCCACAGGGAGCCCTTGGGTGCCATACTGAAGGCACTCTGCAGTGGCTGTGTGACCTCTGGCCCTGAGGGCCTAAGACTGGGCTTCTGGGGATCGCTTAGCATGTCAGCAACTGGGTCTACCTTCTACTGCGGAAGTGGAGGCTGCAGTTCTGTGGCTGTGTCTGTGACCCGCTTTCCTTGAGCTGCTCCTCCCCACTGCTTCCTGGACTTTCTGCCCGTTCTGGGCCCCATGGGAGGTAGCAAGATGTGGCTGGAGGCTGCAAGGGTGGGGGCGATGTTGGGATCAGATGTCCCTTGGGCTTTCCCTTTTTAGGTTAGGAAAACTCCTGTGAGCGCCTGTCATACTCTCTGAGAGGTAGGCATGACCGCCGTAAAACAGTGCCTCACTGCTGTCCCCACAGCCCCATGGCCTTTTCCCTGTATTGTGGATTCTCTCTGCCAGCCACTGTAGGAGCTCCCTGAGAACAGAGGCTTTATCAGTGTGCCCAGTGCCCAGTGCGTGGTCAGTTCTGGTTCACCATGACCATGCTGAATGAGAGACAAAAAATAGAAATTGCGGCGGCCCTGTGCATGTGGAAATCAGGGTGGTTTTAAGGGTTGTGCCAGGTGGCCCTACCACTCTTATCCCCCTCCCTGTGCTCCCAACGTGGCCTTCCTTCCCTGGGCTAGTCACAGTTCTACAGTCTGACCCTGTGTCCCTCTGTCTGTCCTCCCCGTCTCTTTGAGGTTCTGTTAGTTCCCCTCCCCTCCTGTGACTCCAGGGTTGACCTCAGGACCAGCGGCTTCTAGGAGCAAGCATTGTTCACAGAAAGCTCCATTGACAGGTGAAAGGAAGCTGCTAGCAGCCTGGAAGACCTGGAAGATGAGGGCTGGTGGCTGGTGGGCTCACTCTCCTGGGTTTGGGGCTGCAGCTGCCCGAGACCAGACTCCGGGTATAGCTCAGAGGCAGGAAGTCCTCATACCCAGTGGCTTTTGGACTTACCTGTAAGATCCGTGGTTTGAATGAGCTCTTGCATGGAGCCCCACTTAGAAGAAAGCAGCAAGAGCAGACCACTCTACACGAGGAGAGGGGCCTTGTGGCCCGAGGCA